CACTAGAGCACCCACAAACTCCAGATGGTTTCGTTTCTTCTTCACTTTGAAACAGAGCCTGGGGAAAGCAGGCCTTTACTGAGGGGCAAGGGAGGAGGTTCAACTGCTCAGAGCCAGGATCTAAGGACGCAGAGCCCAGAAGCCCCACTGAGCAAGCCCTGAACTGGAAGATTCCAATGCAAAGATGCTCCTCCCTCCTTCTCTTCCTCTCCCTTAGATCTCCACACATCACTCAGAAGTCTTGTTTGCTTGGGGACATGAGAAGGCTTATTTGATTTGGGGCCAAGGCTGGAGACCCGTGAATATTCCCTTTGAAGGCGGGCACCTCTGAATTCCTGCTTCCCCCCCCCCGCCCCCCACACACACACTATCAGAAGCGCCACATCCTGTCAACTCTTTAGAACTTCTCAAAGTGGCTTCCCTCTGATTTCCAGAGGGTCCTGGCTGCTTGCAGTTCTCAGGCTCACAGTGTCAGGGAATGGGGGTTTCTTGTTTTTCAAATCACTGACTCCTCCCTGGGACGCTTTTTTGTCCTTGCTTTAAACACCAACAACCACAAGACCCGACAGAGGACCTGACAGTGACGTCTGCATCATTAAAGGATCAGAGCAGCGGAGGAAGTCCTCCCATCCAGTAAAGATGGACCACGTGCCCACCGCGTGCCAAGCTCTGTGCCAGGCACCAGGCGCAAGAGTGAGTTCCATTTAGATGGGGTTCCTGCCCTGATGGAGGTTGCAGTCTGGTGGGGAAACACAGCAAAAATTAGCAAAGGAGGGGCCCCTGGGTGGCTTAGTGATTTAAGCATCTGACTCTTGATTTTGGCTCAGGTCATGGTCTCAGGGTCATGGGATGGAGCCCTGAGTCAGGATTGGTCCTGGGCATGGAATCTGCTTGGGATTCTCTCTCTCCCTCTGTCCCTACCCAGCTCGCTCTCTGTCTCTCCCCCTCCCCCCAAAAAATATATAGGGGCACCTGGGTGGCTCAGTCAGTTGAGCATCCGCTTTTGACGCAGGTCATGATCCCAGGATCCTGGGATCGAGTCCTGCATTGGGCTCCCTGCTCCACAGAGAGTCTGCTTCTCCCTCCACCCTTCGCCTCTGCTCATGACCTCTCTCTCTCAAATAAATAAAATCTTAAAACATATATATAATATATATATATATATATATATAAAGGAAGCATATCCAACTGTGAAAGTACTTTTAA